ACTCCGATCTCTATCTTGGCTTTTGTTGGATCCAGAAGTGAAGGATATCTTTGTTTAAAGTTTTTGGCTATAATTGAAACAAAAGGCAAACGAATTAATAATTTAGACGTAAGTATCCGTACAATAGCTCTCTCTCTCTCTCTCTCTCTGTCCGTAATATCATGTGATTGGCAGAGCATTGGCTGACATACCGAGAGCTCGAGTCTCGACAACTCCGGTATCACTGATCCGGTTGTCGTCCGTCTCATTCATATTGAGAGTCCACTTGCGGATGGACTGTAAGTCCTGTTCGCAGAGTTCGGTTAATCCGTGTTCAGAGCCATTAATGATCTGAAAGACATCAGATACGTTTTGCACACTGTAAAGCCACTACAGAAGCCGTAGCCCCATAGCCTATCGCACCGCAGGCTACTTCATTTTGTACTAACCGAATGTCAACCCGTGACTTATGGTTAACCCTTCCAATGGTTGGGTGGAGTCGAGGGCCTCTTTGGCGACAGTGTAAGTAGTCTTCGTGCCATAAAATCTGACCGGATTTGACAGCTTCTCGGATAAGCANTTGGCTTACAGTTGGGCACTGAATACCAATTGGGATCCAATGGTTGGGTGGAGTCGAGGGCCTCTTTGGCGACAGTGTAAGTAGTCTTCGTGCCATAAAATCTGACCGGATTTGACAGCTTCTCGGATAAGCATTTGGAGGTCGGATTGAGGTCAAGACAACTGCTTCTGGCTATAGTCAACGCGACTACCAGTGCTGTACCGCATAATATGCTCACCAAAAGTGCCATTTTTACACATCTTATGGACAACTGCTTCACAAATACATTGTTTTTATATACAGAAAATGTTTAATTAGTTTTCAATTGAAATGATTCGCAGATTATATGACGAGAGTTAAGAGGCTATGAATACAGGGACTGAGAGTCACTTCAAAGCACTTGAATTGCAATCAGAAATACTTTAATGAATTTATGTTGTATTTGACGATAGTTTACTCATTTGACTGATAAAACTCTGCACATAATAGTTGTTATAAAAAGTCTATTTCTTATCAATGCTTTTGAAGTCAATTAAACTGAATTCAAGTGATTATAACTTTAAACTCAAATATTTATCAAATCTGCAAAATATCTATTATATTCATTATGACGTCAACTACCTAGGTGATATTTACAGTTATGCTATGTATACATGATTGTAGGTGGTGTCAAATATGTGGATTAAACTACAGTAGTAAAATATATTGTAATAAACATATTAAGTACAGTACCTTTTATCAATGTATAATCAATTTGGTCATATTAGAGTATGAATAGATTCTTACTAGATTCATAGATTGACCATGATAATCTCCATTAGGTAGAGTCATAACAAACAACAGTATTTAAAACAATAATAAAACATGTATTCAATTGTCATTTAAATTGTCATTTGATTTCAAATTCATCACAACTTTTGAACCAAACAAATAAAAGCAAAACATTTCGTAATTTATATGGAGATC